TTACAACAAGATGTCTCCCAGGCTTCCATAATCTGAGGCCAGAATGGCAAATAGACCCAGGAAGTCAACTCTATCTATAACTTCTCACCTGTTTCAATTCTTATGATTAAAAGTTCATTAGTTCAGGGAAAAAAAAAAAAAAAAAAAAAAATCAGTGTCACCTATTGCTACAAAAAGAAAGAAATAAAGAAAAAATTAACTAGCTACATAGGAGAAATTAAGTGTGGACACAATAAGATTTTCACCATTAAAATTACTACAAGACAATAAAGGAAATTGTGTCAATCTAGCTTTTACACTTTTGCTTTGAATTTGTCATTCAGAAACACTAATCACTAAAGCAAACTGTAGAATATTAAGAAACTACATACATTTTATGACCTGTGGGTAGAAAAAAATATTTCTTTCTTCGGTGTTAATTACTGGCTTAGTCTGGCCATCTGGCAGGAGACCAACATATATTCCTTGATTTCGCACTGATTCTAGACTTACAGATCCAGTTTCCAAATTCTTCTCAATTTTAAAGTGACAATATTCATCACCTGTGCCCTAGGAAATTGAAAACAGAAACATTAATTTAACAATTTAATTGATGGTGCTAGGCAAGTTGGACGTTTCTTAAGACTTTGATATGATTAACTTCTAATAACATTTCAGATTAACTTTAGGTTCTTCACTGCGTCCTACATTATTGAACACACACACACATATATGTATATATATGTTGGCCTTTCTTATTCCCTTGTGAACAGAAACATCAATCACAGAGTTTGCGTAGTGAAAGATCACATGTGAAAACATTCTGATCTCTGTTAGGTAAAGTCTGGGAGTTCAAAGGAGTGTCTCACTTAATGAGCTTACATCTAAATCATTCATTAGTGGGTTTTATCATCGATTTATTTTGACTCAACACCACTTAAAAGCCCTGAACATGTTTGTGCTCTGCCACATTCAAAACTATCAGTTTATATCAGCAAACAGACATAGGATTAGTAAACATTGAGCCTAATGCGCAAATATGCTTCATTCTCTTTTTTTGCTCTCAGATGTAAATCTGTCCTATTTAAACTCCTAGCAGGTGGGGAATATTGTAAATCCAAAATTCAGAATATTTCAACCATCTTCCAAACCTAGTTTTATTACTAAATATCCTGGTGAGGTGTTCCAAGAATAAATTCTATGTGGTTGCCTGATGAAGAAAACAGATTCTTCCTTTCAGACAAAACAGAAAAATTTGTAAAAGGTAGGATACCAACAACATTTCAGCGTCTTCCAAGCTCACAGTAGTATAACTGTGGTTGTTTAATAAATATCACATTAATGCAGCAGAATCAGCTATCTGACAACAAATAAATTTTAACTACATCCACATTTTCTGTTGTTCAAAAATATAATCAGATCTTTACAATCAAGTTCCAGATAGACATGCAGTTTCTCTTGCTGTATTTTCTATCTAACTTTCCTGGGATAAATGAAGGAAAAGATAAAAAAAAAAATAAATAAATAAAATAAAAGCTTATATATATATATATATTATATATATAACGTTTTATCCCACTTTTATCCAAGCAAGTAAAACAATATTCTCTGCTATCATGGACAAATTGCTCAAACTACCTGCAAAAAGAAATACAAACAAGATCTGCTTACTGTTCCATTACACTGGTCATCTTTAATCTTCAGATACATTCTGGGTTTTCTCACACTTTCAAACATGCAGACTCCAGAGCCAATTTTATGCCCCTTCCAGTAGGAGTCCTGCCCCTGTCCAGATAGACATGCAGTTTCTCTTGCTGTATTTTCTATCTAACTTTCCTGGGATAAATGAAGGAAAAGATAAAAAATAAATAAATAAATAAATAAAATAAAAGCTTATATATATATAAACGTTATATATATAACGTTTTATCCCACTTTTATCCAAGCAAGTAAAACAATATTCTCTGCTATCATGGACAAATTGCTCAAACTACCTGCAAAAAGAAATACAAACAAGATCTGCTTACTGTTCCATTACACTGGTCATCTTTAATCTTCAGATACATTCTTGGGTTTCTCACACTTTCAAACATGCAGACTCCAGAGCCAATTTTATGCACCTTCCAGTAGGAGTCCTGCCCCTGCTGACCTGCTCCGCTGCAACTCCCATCAGGTAGACAGGACAGAGCCTGGCAGAGACTTGTGTTGAGCAGAATGATGGCACCATGGTGAAATACACCCTTCAAATCAGAGACAAGAAGCCCTTTGTGAATAGCACACTTTTCTCCTTATTAAACTTTGACATTGGTATTAGTCAGACTGATTTATTTTAAGCATGTATTAATGGGTATATAAATATAAATGAGTAAGTCCCAAGTAATTCAAACATGCCCCTGGCCTTTGAATATTTGTTGCTTTCTGTGCAGACACTAACCTGGGCAGTGGAAATGCTTTCCTGCTTTGCAGCTTCCCTGCTTTTAATTGCTGAGCAGCGCAGCCCACCCTCCAGAGCACAAGGAGGGTGGCAAGTTAAGGAACTTGTTCTATTTTCAAATGAAGTCATTTCCCATGCGGCTCTCCTGTATAAACCCACCTTCCTACGTTTCGAAGGTTTACTAAAGAGTTGAGAGATGCAGCTTTCCGGCCTGACAGCTCAGACCAGCTGCGGGACAGGCACCATCTCGTCTCACTGAGGGAAAACTTCCCAAATACCGCCTACCTGTTCAGCTGTGGTTGAGCTCCACCTGGTGGGAGAGGATCACTCTTCTAGCTCTCAGTCCTCTCACATTTGATGAGCTACAATCTCTTTTATGCAGCAAATTTTAGAAGATTATTCTTAATTTCCCTCTGCCCATCTTTACCTTGACATGCACAACAAATTCTTTGGTAAGTCCAGCATATCCTGTTGTTTCATCAGCGACTTTGCCTTGAAGATTGAAGGTAACAACGTGACCTGGACTCCTGGCTGACTCAAGAATGGCACAGCCATTTGGTTGAGGATGAACACGGAGTTCACAGCAAGTCTTTTCTTTTCTCTAACAAAGCCAAAGTAGGAATAATAAACTATATTAACTACTAGATACAGCAAAATCCAGAACAGAGTAACATGGCACAGTTTCTGTATTGTTCAGTCTAGTATGAAAATCTCTTTATATTTTTCAGATTTGCAGTCCTGATACAAAAGTCCTAAAGTTTCAAAGCACAGAAAGAGTTCATCTTCACATGACACAGACGTGAGGACAACATGAAAGATACCTGATGCCTCAGTCAGAGAGAGAGTTAGTCTCACCCTACAAACATAGCAAAGAAAATTGGAATATAAAATTGATGAAGAAAACAGGTGAACTACAGCAACTGTCTTCCACCAGCCTTCCTTCATTTGCCTCAGTGTTTCCTTTCATCTACTTACATTATTCCCACAGAAAACACTTACTGAGTCATAAGTTCTACATGAAAGAGTACAGCAACCCACTATCCATGCTTGTCTGTTCAGGTTTGCAAACTGTGTGATCCCATTGTATAGAAGACACAATACACAAAATACATATTCAAATATTGTGTCATATTTTTGACATATTTTCATATTTAAATAAGACTAGGATTTTAATAAACTTAAAATGCTAATAATTAGCCCAATAATTTCAAAAAACTTCTGACTCGCATGATCTAACATTTTCAGCATATCTAAGATTTCAAAGAATCAAGATTTCTAGGCAACCTTTTCATTGCCTCTGAAGAAGAAACTTCATACTCAAAAAAACATCTATTACATTTGATGTTTTTATAAAACTAAAAGAAAAATCATATGGAATTTAGAACTGGTGGTGAAACAAGTGAGCAGGTATGTTCTCAAAGTGAAACTATGTATCATAAGGTCAATTGCTATTTCTGTCCTGCCATTTTGTTTTACATTTAGCCATCTTCATTACAAGGGCCCCAAAAAGTTTTAAATCACAACATTTTTCACATTTTTCATGTTCCCTGGAAAAGGGAACATCTTGTGCAACAGCAAATAAGAAAAATCAAGTTCCATGTTTTCTACAGGTTGCTCAAACTCACAAAGAACGTTGGTAGCATAACAGAAAAGAGAAAGTTCAAATTTAGGCACCCAGTTAATAACCTCTCTGTAGTAAGATGTGCTGCAATACAACAGACTGCAAGGGGCTCTCTGTGTCAGAATTACACTAATGAACATGAAGGCTAGGAATCCTGCAAGGACGAGGCCTAACAGTTTGCCTGGCAGCCTAGTGCTGTCCCTATTGAGAAATCCACCTCTACTGTGACTACTCTGTTCCCACTAATGCCACTGTGCATCATGTAAAAGAGGAATAGAACTAGTTTTGACTATGAAATTATTCACTGAATAAATAAGAACTCAGAAAACTGAAAGAGAAACAGCTTATTCCTTCATCAGTAAGAGAGTTTCATCAGAACAAATTTATTTCTACAACTCTGTTTGCCTACTGCAAAGTGCTGAGGAAGAAAGACAGTAGTAATACTTTGAAGATGGGATGAAACAAATCAAAATGGATCAAAACAGATCTGGAAAATTTCAGCTGGCTTATAACAGGCGTGTTACTTAGAAAAAGACACAAAGGAAAAATGGGAATTTAAAATCAATCCTTAGACTCATACTTATCCAAACAGAGGAAATTGAACTATAAAATGATATAATAGTTTTTGTTGGAAGACATGTCTAAAAGTCATGTAGTTCAGCCTCGTACGAGGCTCACAGCCTCGTACAACCTGACCTTCAATATTTCCAAGGATGGGACATCTACGATCTTTCTGAGCAACCTATGCCAGTATTTCATCACCCTCATCACTAAAATTTCTTCCTTAGCCCTAATCTAAATCTACCCTCTTTTAGTTTAAAACTATTACTCCTTGTCCTATCACAACAGGACCTGCCAAAAAGTTTGTCCCCATTTTTCTTATTGGCCCCTTGTAATTGTTTGAAAGGCTGCAACAACATGTCCCAGGAGCCTTCCCTTCTCCAAGCTGAACAACCCCAACCCTCTAATCATTTTTGTGACCTTCCTCTGGGCGTGTTCCTGTTGTTGTGTCTTTCCTGTGCTGAGGACTCCAGAGCTGGACACAGTAATTCAGGTGAGGTCTCACCAAAGCAGAGCTGTGGAGCATCATCACGTCTCTTAACCTGCTGGTCATGCTTTTTTTGATGCAGCCCAGGATACAGGTGGCTTCCTGGGCTGCAAGCACACCTTTCTGGTCTAATGCCCCAAGTCCTTCTCTGGAGGGCTTCTCTCAATCCCTTCAACTCCCAGCCTGTACTGATATTGGGGTTTGCCTGGACCCAGGTGCAGGACCTTGAATTTAGCCTTTTTGAACTTCATGAGGTTCATGGGGGCCCACTTCTCCAGTTTGTCTATGTTCCTCCACATGGCATCCCAGCCCTCGAGCATGCCTACAAGGTATGAGAGCATTCCAGGTACCTTGTCAACACTTGGCAAGCCAATACAAATTACAGTTTGGAATGGCCTGGTATTCCTGCATCAAATTATTTAGCCTATTAAAAAAAATCTTACTGAAGAGTAAAAACTAAACAGAGAAAACAGACAAAGTCCTACATCTAAATTTACCTACTCATTGGTGATTTCCTGGGTACAGTTGCACAGTTCTTAGTGGAAGCACAATTATTAGAAAGATTAAAAAGTATTATTTTTATTTAGACAATGACATGTAGTTATGAAGCAGAAATCAGTAACTGCATTTCCTACCTTTCCAATTACTTGGCCATTGACAAGAGCAAGAGCAAGACGTGGCATCTGATGACTGCTGAATATACATATATTTCTTCCTTTGACACTTACATGAAAAAGACCTAAGAGTTACATGAAAAAAAAATAAAATGTTAGAAGTATATGAATTTATTAATTTGCATTTAATTGCAATTGATGATTTATCATTTTCAAGGGAAAAGAATTAATGAAGTGTTTAACTCAGCAGTTTGACCTCTGATCAATTAATCCCCACATTCCTTCAGGAAAGGGCATCTAGAGACTACTGCCTGCTTCACTGCCTTGAGAAGAAAAACCCTGAGAGCTAACGATAAGGAACAAATTTCTTTTGATCAGTGTACATGTTTAAAAAAAAAAAAAAAAAGGATAAAAAGGATCTGAGGACTCCAGTGTAATTAATAGGGCTATAACAATGAATTTACATGTTAAATAACAGATCATGTAGGGAATATAAAGCTCTCAGGTAAGAAAAGATAATTCATTTTCTCTGTATCCCTATTAGAATTTGTAAAGCAAATTTTGCAGCATAGCTCATGGCTCCTAACGTTTTTAATCCAACCAATTTTCCAAACAATTACCTCTTTCAGCTATACAATACTGATGACAGCTAAAGTAGCGCCATTTTTATTGTTTCCAGCAGCAACAGCTGATTTTTTTAAACAACTGCTCTACCTATACATTATGTTGCCCATCTGTAAGGTGCAGCTCTCTCTGGAGGACTCCTGTGGTGCCCACCATGGCTGGAGGCCAGCAGCAGAGCCCTTAAATGAAAATTAAGCAACAGTTCCCCAGTCAGCATTTGTGGACTTCAGTGGCACTCAACTGCTCTTGATATTTTGGAACTTACTGCAGTAAAAGAAAAAATCTTAAAGAAGTTAAGGGTGAAATAAATTGTTGTGAAGGCAGAAGAGTTGTGTGAAAGGTGTGTGCATTCATGTGGTACTTGTGTTCATTTTGTACTCTGAACTATAAAAAAAGAATACATTGTTATTCCTGTGTCAATCTGATATCAGGGCAACTTCATCATACTGTTCAGAAAAATTAAGCTCTTTTTGCTTACCAGTTTAACTCTAAGTATTATTAAATCCTTGGGAGGTTGCAGATCACATTACTCATTTTTCTGACTTCCAATCTAAATTAATCAACAGCCAGTTGATACCAATTTTATTTTGATCTTTCTAATACATTTAGTTATACTTAGCATCCTTAACTACTGACATTTAGTAGTTGTGCATCAGATGTGGTACTTGCACAATTACAGACATTACTCATTTAAAATGGTGGAAATAATACTCATTAATTTTATATCCAACATGTAAAAATGTGGCCAAAGGGTACAGAATGCAGTAAAAATATAATGTGTTTATGCTAGAAAAATACCATTAGAAATGCACTAATTTGTAGACAGGAAAGTGAATCTAGATGGAAATCTGGAAACAGTCTGCAGTATGAACTTGAATTCTAGATATTGGAAGATTATCAACTCTGCATCACCTAAATGATCTGCCTGAAGTAAATCAGACACAATTCATCAATCGAAGACACAGCATTAAAAAGCAGCAAAGATGTGTTTACTGCATCAGTGCAAACTGGAGACCAAAATCCTACAAGCAGCTAGTTTGGTCTTTCACCAAGTAATTCAGTTTGTGATCCTAAATAGATCTCCCTGGAGGAAGGATACTAATATGTGCAAGTGCCTTCAGTCATTTAAAACACTTGCAAATCTTAAAGCTGTAGACAGGAGATTTGAGATAATCAGTGGCTGAGTAACCAAATACTTTGAACTCAAGGACTAAAACTGCAAACTAATGAGTTTTAGTAACAGATAGTAACACCTCCTTTCAATGTCTGTAATGTTACTGATCTCCCTTATTACACATTTGAGTTTTCTGTTGCAGCTTTTCTAAGGTGCCTTTATAGGGTATGCTGAGGAGTGTAGATTGCAGTGCTCTCTATATACTCTTTGGTGTGTCCTGAATTATTCTGTTCTATCACTTCAAGAAAGAAGCCTGTAAGGTCTCTGGGAAAATGTCAGAAAGGCTGAGCAGCTCTGTCACTACAAAGATACCAAAAATGTGTTCCTAATATGATATGTATTATAGCTAAGTGCTAGTAACACAGTAGGATAGAAGTTTAAGTTCCTCCAGAGGAGGCCATTAAAATCAATGACAAGGTGAGAACAAAACAAATGTTATGTATATAATTTCATATGTGTGTGTGTGTATATATGTTCCTTATTAATGAACTATGCCTGGAAAATTGAACTTGTTAGCTTAAATGGATCTAGTTACAAAGGGCTGTAGCTGTCCTTGCCATGGCACTTCCATCAGAACATTAAACTGCAGATGACAAGAAGCTTCTATTTGGCAAGAAAAAGTCAGTGACAAGATACCCTATCAGGGGTTTTTTTGTGCTTTAATGTGTAAAGCAAGCACATATTGTCTAGTTCTTATAGTCATTAATACATGTAAATATTTTAAATAAGGAAAATGTTTATTATCTACTCCTATTCCTTACAGGAATCACTACATGAGATCACAGTGAACTACTAAGTCCTCCTTTCTCATATTTTTTATGCATATATCCAGATGAAAAATACTTTACCATATTTGTTTTTCTTGTCACCAAGAGCATCAACTCTGCAATCTGGACTGAGGCAAATGAAACCACGGGTGAGCCTGTTGTAAAACTGCAGTGTATTGCCTTCCTGAAATTTCCACTTTTCAGCAGCCCACTAGGTTTGTAAACAACATGCAAAAAAGACTTGTGACAAGATGATACACAGAAATTTTAAATAAATGAAAACAACTCATTTTATTTTGCTCAAAGCATAATTTGAATGGTTTAAATAAAATTTTTAAATTATGTTCTTACAGTTTCCCCTCTCTTGAGTTCCAGCTCCTGCCCTGTACCAATAAAAAGCATACAATTAATTTAGAGGGCATTCTCATTCCATTTGACAGAGTGGCAGTGAGGCTGGGTTCTCCTCCCCACCAATTTTCACTTACTTCCTGGAAATGTGCTGGCATCTGTCACAGTCAGTTCTCTAGCAATATTGCCATCATCCTGCCCCTTGTCCAGCCACCTGAAAAGCATAACCTATTTCAGTAACTATAACCTTGACTGGCAAGTCCCACAGTACTGTATACACGTCACTTGCATACTGATACTCTCTGTTCTATTTATTAGAGTCTCGAGGCTGGCAAACAGCAGTACTAACATCCAGCTTCAGTGAAAAGAGATTGACTTTGGCAAAAATGTTTTTGTTTGTTTCTTCTTGATGAAATTTAAAAAAAAAAAAAAAGGTTTCCTGAACTGCAGTACAAGGCCCTAAGCCAATTATTTCAAATCACAGAACCCATCTTGATACTAGATCAATATCAGAAGGTGCAGCGTTATGGTTTCTCTTCCTGTCTGCAAGAAGGACACAGCAGGATGCAAATTCTTTCATGCCCTGCAAACCCCTTTACAAGGAGGCAAATCTAGCACATGCAATTGTACCGTATCTGCACTTACACTACTACAATGCCATTGTACTGCTTCACATCTACTTACATACTGTAAGTCTAACTCTGTTTGAATCAGAAGGATTCACACACTCCGAAAGGAAGATCAGCAGGCACAGCGTCGGGCTCTAACAATAACTAGCACACACCCTGTATTTTTCTGCCTGAAATGGATTTAAGCTAAATTATGTATGAAGCTAGTATTATAGATCTCTTCATAGCAGTTCATCTCATGTAGAATTCAGAATCAAAATTAGGTCAGGCAAAGATGAGGTGCTGCATCTGATAGGCAGAAAGCCCTTACTCACACATAAATCAGTTTCAGTGCGCACATCGCTCACTCCAAGCTGTCTCAGGCAGTTATTTATTCACTCAGAGAAGTAAGAGGAAGAAATAGAATTGAGGTGCCACTGGCAAGCTGCAGCTAGGCTCATACGTGACTGGACTTTTCTATTCCTAATATTTGCAATGATCTTTATCAATTATAATTTTCCATAAGGTGTTAAGAATTAATCAGGCATAGATAAAAATAGAAACGAGATGTGGAACAGAAGATTCAGAGCAGCAGCATCTGCAGGGGAAAAGGCAGGGAAGTTAGGATTGGTTCAAATCACATTGCAGCTCAGTGACAGACTGCAAGGCAAATAAGAAAAGAAATGTGGTCAGGTAGCTGTGTTTGTGATAGCCATTTCACAAGATCTTTAAGTCTGATCATGAGTTCATTGAATCCCAAGTTAATGTCCATGCTAACTTCAGTAAAGTAGGGTCAGTCTGCTAGAGAGACAGCAACCCACTCTTCTGAAAAGCCCTACATCACATGACATGGAAGAACAGATGGACTTGCTGATGTCAGATCTGAGGTGTTCTATCAATAAAAGCACATCTTGAATAGTTCACAAGGTGCAAGAATGGAAAGTTTCTGGGCAGAACTTTCTTATTGCTTTTTCATTAGCTCAACTGCATCAGAGGTACAGGGCAAGTACAACTCAGAGAGCTGTTTTAAAATTAATCAGACCATTTCAGCTCACTTTTTAAGAAACACGAATTTCCCTTGACAGGACATTCCAGAAGAAAAACTTCAAGTAATTACAAATTGATTAGGAATTTAACCAAAATGAAACACTACTAACCTGTGACAAAGAAAGGTATAATCCAAATCTGTTACAGGATCCTTGATTACAACTTTATCCAGAAACCAGCCATTTCCTTGGAATAAATTAAAACAAAACAAAATAAAACAAGTTAGTTCATGAGAGGCAGATTTAATGAAGTCTGACTCCCTGTGGCTTTCCCTCCTCTACTGGAACTACTGCAGAATCTGCAGCTCCGCTAGCAAGTTGCTAGACTCACAGCTGCCCTGATGGCTGGAGAGAAGACTGTACCTTCTCTAGGTTCTGTCAAGCTTGTATAAGGGTCTGCAAGCTGCTAGGTCACTTCCTGGCTGTCATGGCCCTCAGAGCTGCACATGTGCCTAGCATTTAAATTTGTCATTGTACGAGACTTATCTGTTTTACCAATAAGAATATCAACAAGACTAGATGGCAGTTTATCATGGCTCAAAATATGTTGCTATGTTTTACAGTATTTAGGCTCAAGAGTTTGAAAACAGGTCTTGTGACTACAAGTAATTCGTGTTTCACCATTAAGATAGTGTAGCCAAAATCTCCAACTGCATCTTTACAGTGCAGCTGACAGTGCTAAAATCCTAAAATTGTAATAGCCCATTTTATCTATAACATCGACTGCACAAAATAGATTCATTGTTTTATCATGCAGACATTCCACCTTTTCACAGTTTTTCCATAGGGATTAGTAAAAAAATGACAGGAGAGAAGCAGATGGTCTCCTTAACATAATAATTGAGAGTACAGTGAAATTGAATGCAAAATATTTGAAATTTCTGAAGATAGAATAAGTTAACTCTGTCCTTTGAGCTGTTTCCTTAGAAGCCCTTGTCTTTCATTTCTAGAATGTTTTCATACATTCAGTTTTATAAACACATACTGTATTTCAAAGAAAAAGTTAATAACTTTGAAAGCAGTATTCAGTGACTATACAGAGATGTTTCTGACCTGATCCAAGACCATTGTGTCCTATAACGATCTTGTACAACTGTCCGAGGTGCACAGCTTCAACAGCAAAGATGTCAGTCTGTAATCAATTAACAAAATTTCAATAAAATCTGAAAAGGAGAACATTCTTCAGCCATGGAATCCCAAAGAACCATAAAACCCTATAGAAATGTCAAGATCATCCTTTGAAATATCAGCTAATGATAAGGTGAGAACAAACAAAGAAGTATAGGTTTCCTGAAATCAAAGAGGTAAGTCAGCCTGATCACTTTGCTAGTGAGAGTAATTCCATTGAAATTAAAGGAATCTGAGTCAGAAAAAGAAACCTGCTGAAAGCTTAATTGGCTAAAAATTACAAATTCCAGCATATTTCAATATTAGAAATGCAGATATAAAATGTAAAGTTTTGTTTTCCCTTCACTTATTAAATCAAATTTAATGAAGAATCAGAAAAAAAAAAGTACACAAAAGCTTACCTATTATGTAAGTGAAAACTCTGTATTCCAAAAGCACTGGCATATCTTTAGAAACTATTTTTGTCTTAATTAAGGAATTTTGGGGGAATATTGGAATGCAGTAATTATCTTATTTGTAATTGCACCTTGCCCAGGATAACCACCCACCTGAGAGAGAAAAGCCAGCCAAACATATCTGAAAATGTCCTGTCTTTCACTTACTTGTCCTTTTAAAAATTTCTTGGATTTCTGTGACCTGAGCAGTCTTGATCCTGTATCACCTCTTTGTCCGTAGACAGAAATATAGACATCAGCCTCAGTCCCAGCATTCCAGAGTTCTCCTGTTGTCACATGCACTTCATAAATGGTCACTGACAATAAAAGATGACAGCCATTCATATCACAAACCCTATTACAGTTACAATAATGTCTAGCTGTTAATTTGCCTGTGGAGTCCAAATACATCTGATGTCAAGGACGGTTAGAGTATAAAACCCTATAAATCTTCTCCAATATTAAGAAAAATAATATACAAACTTGCCTTGGGAATACATTTATGGGTTTTATCCCAGATTATGTCTATAGGGAATGCAAAGAGAATAGAACTTTAAATGCACGATAGCATGTCTTTGTCCTACAGCATTGTTTGAAATAATCATAAAGCTAAAAAATAAATACCATAACTCCAAGATTAGCCTAACCATAATGATGACATCAAAACAATAGCAAGTAGCAGAAGGCATTAACATTTTGAATGCACTGGTTAACCAAAGAAGCAAATATCTAGCACCATAGTTTTAGTCTTTTAGGATGTCAGAACTTAGAAAGCTGCATTATTTCATTATTTTACTGATTTATGCAATAGAATACTAGAGACTTCCTCTCTTACATTCCGTACGGAAATTCTTCAAAGGCTATAAATCTGGGAGGAAAAACCTAGGACATAAATTCAATAAACTGGTCATTTAATAGAAATGGATAATGTAAATAAAATTTAATTTGAGTCAAAATCTAATGAAACTGGAACAAAGACAATAAAATATGTATCATATGTATAATGTACCATTAAAATGTGTATCATAAAAATATGCATTAATAGAAAACTGTTGTCATTAAAGTGCAGATATAACATAACATTCAAAAATAAGATAAAAACATGCAATTTTAATCTTCAGGAGAAACATCGGGAAGGCAAAGTTTACACCAACATACAGTAGCAATGTTTTGTTAGACCAAGTAAGGTACATAGACAATGAAAGTGGGAGATAAAACATCATTTTCTGGCACACGAGTTCTTCATCCATATATAGGTGTCCTTGTGATTCTCTCTCTTGCGAGAACAGACTTTCTGGACCTTTGGGTACAGAACAACATCAGCATAACATTGACAACAGTTAGTTATCAGTTTCTTTTTCAACTATGCTGTGAAGCTTGACTGCAGTCCTCTGAAGGAGGTTGCTCCTATGTCTCACTCTTCTCATGGACAAACACCTTCTTAAAATAACTAGTGAAAATGTATTAATGATTAGTCCATATCTTCAATTGTGGTAAGTGGCCATTCAAGTGTTTACCAGTTTCCCCTTGATGCTTTTTTTTATTATTATCTCGTATTTGTTTACATGGCATTTGTGTGCAGGTTATCATACAAGCGATACCTGAAGAATTTGGTTTGGATAATGGTAACAATCTAGCTAAAACTGTAAGCTCTCTGCACATGCTCTTTTAACGTGCCCACAAAGAACTCTAGTACTAGTTTGCTTCTGGCATCAAATCTCCTCATTTTGAGATCATAGAATCATAGAATAATTCTGGTTGGAAAAGGCCTTTAAGACCATCGAGTCTAACCATAACCTAATTCTACCAACCATTAACATAAGTCTACCAAGTCCACTGTTAAACCATGTCCCCCCATCTACACAACTTTTAAACACATCCAGGGATGGTGACTCCACTACTTCCCTAGGCAGCCTGGTCCAGTGCTTGACAACCCGTTCTGTGAAGAAATTTTTTCAAATACCTAGCCTAAACCTCCCCTGGTACAACTTGAGGCCATTTATTCTTGTCCTATTGCTTGTTACTTCTGACAGATGATGACTGAGTACCTCTAAACTCCACTGAAGTATTGTACCATAGAAACATGGTACCATAGAAACATTCTATAAATAAATCAGGCATAGAGGATTAAAATAGTTAACTTAAAAATTCAAGTAATTTTCAAAGTTTTTTACACTTCGCTACCTCTCATAAGTCTAAGGATCATCCCAGCTTTATAATAAGTATTTGTGAGTATTTATAATTCCTAGAGCTTTTATCTTAGGAAGTTGTGATTCTCTTTATGGAATGAAGCTGCACCACAGAAAGTTTAAGTTGGACATTAGGAAAATGTTCTGCACTGAGAAGGTTCGCAGTCACTGGAATAGGCTCCCAAAGAAGTGGCCACAGCACCAAGCCTGTGAGAGTTCAAGAACCATCTGGACAGTGCTCTTAGTCATATGTTTTCATTTTAGGTAATCCTGAAAGGAGCAGAGAGTTGGCCTTGGTGATCCTTTTGAGTCCCTTCCGATTTGAGATAGTCTATGAATGACTCTTTCCTTCAGATATTCCATGGGAAAGTGTGCACAACAAATCTTAAGAGAAGAAGCTGTATTTTTTACATCTATTTTTCTCTATAAGTGTAGAGCATCACATTTGTAAACATGTCATTCTGAAATTAGGAAGTGTAAGGATTGAGATTATTTACAATTTATTTCTTTCCCTTATGCTTATGAATGATGAGAGACAAAAAAAGGAGGTAAGATGAGTATCTTTTTTTCAGATCAGATATTATTTTCAGACAAAAGCATATCACATTTAAGGAACAGAAGCTTTTGACAGTCTTCAGTTGGCAGCACAGTCACATACTATTTTTTTTTCCCAGAGTACACCTGTTTATAATTCTCAAAATAGTTTTCATTTAAGAACTGTTAATTAATACTGTATTTTACCCACATCATTTACCATGTCACCACCTGGTCTATTTACTTCCCCAAATGTTTCTTTACGATACCCACACAAACAGGTACCCCATAAATAGTTCATGGCAGATGCAGAGAATTCATTTTGCCAGACCAACAATCCTATGTCTAAGACCACAAAAATCCTCTCTATTCCTACAATTCTCCTTCATTACCAATCTCCTTTCCAGGTTTTACAAGAAGAAAAGCACAAGTCCACCAGTCACCAAACAATGTGTAACTCTGATTTATCCCCAGCAAGTATTTCATCATCATATAATTAAAGATTGCATCATAAAACATGAGCAGGAGAAAAAAGTAGGATGGTTGTGGATAAAAAGTCAAATGAATGGTTCTCAGTCTCCCAGCATTAAACCCACAGTCTCTATGTAACACTTCTTAAGAGTTTAATTCAGACATTATTCCTTTGAATAAAAAAAAGGCTGTTAAATTAGAAAGTGTTTCAACCTCTTTTTATTCAGAATTTGGTTTTAAAGTGCCTCTCATCATCTCTCTTGCAGATTGAATCCAGACCTCTTCACTATTCTGTTATCAAACTACATTCTCTAAAGTTAAAAACTATGTTCTCTCTTCACTGCCTCATGTAGAAACATACTGCTGGCAAAAAGACCCAGAGCCTGGCTGTCAATTACTAAGTTGGAGATGAAACTGCCTTCTCCAAAGCCTTCAGCATGATCTCTCTCACACTGAGACTGGCAGAAGTTCTTTTCTTCCTCTCTTGTGTGAGAGAGAAATTGTTAACTACAAAATGCAGATTGAGGGGACAATGTAAGTTTGCTGTTGTACTATACGATACACCAAGATCACTTGATAATAAAAACCTTAATTGTATCTTTATCTCAGAAACAGCCTACTCAGAAAGAACCTGAAAATAAGAAGGTGGGTAAGGTTGGTGTCCTAGAACATTAAGCAAGAAAACATTTGCGGAAGAACAGATAGTGCAAGTAGGAGATTGGGGCATATTCAATGTAACATGTTAAAAATCATTAAGTAACACTTATCTAAAGGGGAGGAGGGGTGGTGGTATCTGGTCTGTCTCTGACCAGAGAGACCAAAGCTATGAGGGAGCAGGCTGACTGCCTCTAAGGCTTTTCATGTCCTCAAGGGTATGAAGATCATAACTACTCAGGATCAAATATCATTGTGGTTAGTGCTGGCCAGCTTCTCTTTACACCATTCTATGAGCCATTTACAGCTGCTCACTGCATCACTGGAGGAAATCTCTCCTGCTATTCTTTTTCTCTTAAATCCATATTAATGGGGCACAAACCTGTTTTTCTGCTCTCAGCTTCAGGCTCTTAATCTCAGTACTTAGTCATCACACATAGGCATAAATCCAGCTCCAGGCCACCTAGCTTTTTATTACAAGAGTGACTGTCCCATGATAAGCTCCCCCACATCCATGGGACACTTTCTAGACTTCTGTCCCTCAGCTTAATTTATATCCCCTTCTTCTAGCCTGCACCCACAACAGCTGTTACCATTTAAATGCCTGTTGCCATTTCAGTTTTACAAGGTCAACAAAACGAACCATAAGCATGTCACCAAGCATTGCTGTAGTATTAAACATTCTGAAAAGGGGGTTCTGTAGCTTTTAGAGACTTTTGAATTGAAGTTTCTGTCATCCCATTAATCTTGTCCTCTGATGTTGATATGATTTTGGGGAGAAGGGAGAGAAGGAAATCTGTCCCAGGTGGATCTTACTCTAGTGAAAGCTCCAGCACAGGTGTGGTGTTACAACTTTTCCCATTGTACCATCACACCCTACATGGTGGGAATCTGCCCCAGTATTCTTGCTCCCTCGCCCACATTTCTCCTAGGATACACTGATCTTGCTATGCCTTTGTACTTTCCTTAGCCAGAAAACAATTTGGAGAGAAGGGAAGAGCAAGCACAGACTTTCAATTCCTTTTCCATTGCCGAAGCAGAGATCCCATATAGCAACAACATCCAGCACGGGTGACAGGGGCTAGCATGGTAGAGCAGGACATTAAAACAGTATAACAGCAGCAACACCCAATAATTTTTGTATTCTTTGGCATGATTCACCTTTAGGATTACAATACACACTTTATGTGAGTAATGGAGCTTTTAACGCTTCCAGCCTTCCAAGATATTGCTGAAGTTTTGTGACACATCCAGAAATTATAAGTATTCTGGAAGCCTGCCTCAGACATTTACAAGAAAAAAACCTAAAACAGCAGCTACTATAGTCATACTGGAAATATAAATCAGTTATTGAAAATAAAGTTGTCATCTGACTCATGTATGTTGGTTTCATGGTAGTTACACTTATGTGATGTGTCTTTACTATTGCTTCTATTTTAAAGCAAACACAAATGCTGAAAATCTTACCAAAGAAGAAGTCTTTTTGAAGAACCTGTGAAATTCAAAGCATTCCAAACTCTCCCATCTCCTTTCCAGTGATTCCTAACCTTTTAGTGCAGTATGCCCAGTAACCATAGGAAAACAACAGAGAAAAAGTGTTGTAGCAGCCAAAAAAAAAGAGAGAACCTGATGAAAAAAGACAAACTCACCTCTACTGGCATTTGTGCCTTGACATAGGTAATGTGTTACTGTGCTTACCTGGAAGAATAGGCTGACCCTGCTTTATAACAGGAAGCTCCATAGATATTTCCCCACCAGCCTGGTCCCAGGTCAGCCATCGATGTGCAGGGAAATCAAACTGCTCCCCTGAGAAAAGGTCCAGCAACTGCACCTAAACAGCACCAATAATTGCAATTTTAGTTGCTGATCTCAGTCCAGATAGAACAGAACACAAAATGTGTGGGATGCTGTTGGCACAATCACAAAACTATGGGTTTGGGTCATGTCTACTCCTTGGATACAGCTGCCTCGAATCTCAATTTTCACTCAATCAAATTAGAAAGTGCAGGGCAGAAAAACTCAAGTGCAGCCAAAAACCAGATTTTATCAGCTCAGGCACAATCCCACTAAATATAGCCAGGTTGTTCCAGGTGCCATGTGGGCTGGCACTAGGTGGCATGGCTTACCAAATAGACATTCTTAATGGGAAGCTTCGTAATTCTTATGGATCTTTTCCCTTAATTTATTTCCTTATCAGAACAGGAATTAAAGGAACAGGTTTTGATTCTTGAACACTACTTGTGACAAAAATAACCTGTGAAAGTGCTAGCCCCAGCACCAGTCTGCCACACACAATTTTCTTTCATGACCAACTTAAAAGCGTAGAATTATAGGATCATAGAATGGTTTGGGTTGGAAGGGACCTTAAAGATCATCTAGTTCCAAACCCACTGCATGGGCAGGACACCTCCCACCAGACCAGGCTGCTGAGAGCCTGGCCTTGAACACTTCCAGGGAGGGGTCATCCACCAATTCCCTGGGGAACCTGTTCTAGTGTCTCACCAGTTTCACAGTGAAGAATTTCTCTCCGATGTCCTGAACTCTTCCAGTTTAAAGACATTACCTCTTGTCCTATCACTACAAGCCTTTGTAAAAAGCCCCTCCCCAGCTTTCCTGAAGGCTCTTTCAGGTTCTGGAAGGCTACTATAAGGTCTCCCTGGAGCCTTCTCTTCTTCAGGCTGAATAGCCCCAACTCACTCAGCTGGTCTTCATAGGAGAGGTGTTCCAGCCCTCTTACCATCTTCATGGCCTTCCTCTGGACTTGCTTCAACAGCTCCAGGTCCTTCCTGTGTTGAGGGACCCAGAACTGGACCAAGTACTCCAGGTGGGGTCTCATGAGAGCAGAGTAGAGGGGGCAAAACACCTCCCTTGACCTGCAGGCCACACTGCTTTTGATGCTGCCCAGGATACAGCTGGTTTCTGAACTGTAAATGCACATTCTCAGCCCAAATTTGCAAAGAGCGAATGACCTAACCCTGGCTGATGAATCAGTCCCTAAAACACTGTGCGTGATTGACTGAGATTTGGTAAGAAGAAAATTGAATTTCATAAGCCAGGAACCAACAGAACACACTGAAGTATTAAATCCTTCTTTTAAAATTTGACTTTTTATTTTAATTAATAATGAAATAGAAGTGAGAAAGAGGACAACAGCTTCTCATTTTTTCTTTGTTTTTTGTGGGGTTTTTTGGTCAGACTTCTTCAGTCTCTCAATTAGTCTGGATAAAAGGAGGCTGAGGGGAGACTTTATTGTTACAACTACAACAAGGAGGCTGTAGTGAGGTGGGGGTTGGTCTCTTCTCCCTAGTAACAAATGATAGAACAAAAGAAAATGGCCTCAAGTTGTCCCAGGAAAGGTTTAGATTGAATATTAGGAAAAAATTCATCACTGAAAGGGATGTCAGGCAATCAACCAGGTTGTCCTGGGAAGTGTTGGAATCATCATCTCTGGAGGTATTTAAAAGATGTGTAGACATGGTGCTTAGAGACAGGCTTTAGTGGTGGACTTGGCTAGGTTAACATTTGCACTTGGTGATCTAAAGGTATTTGCCAATCAAAACGATTCTATAGTTCTATTATCCTAATTTAAATTCAAACCAGGCAGTGCAGCCACTATTCCGAGGATGGTGTTCAACAAATCCACAAACCTCCATTTGTAAATCAGATGTTATGATAACCAAGATTCTAATACCAAAATTAGGCATACAAATTAATCTTTTCTCTAAGAGAAAACCCACTGTTCTCTTCTAGCTTCTCAACTCAGATACACTTCAGAAATAGCTGACAATCTGTCATTCTGTGTCACAGGCAGGACAAAGCTATGAAGTATTTTCTACCCTTTCACTGCTTACACACACACAGAATCCTAGGGGTTGGAAGGAACCTCAAAAGATCATCTAGTCCATGACTCATGAGAAGAAAATCAGCAAAAACAAGAGAAAAAAGTATGTTAACTTATATTCTGACCTCAGCATTCCCCCAAAACCCAGCACAGCTGGAAAACAAACACCTAGGCTTTGTAACCAGGCAATCCTCAGATGAATTGAAAGAAATACAGTATCTATAATTCTAGCATGAAATGTCTTAGACAGAGTGATACTATCAGTGATAAATTATTTCAATGTGGACATGCATTGGCTAGAGATATGAACTCACAGAATCTTGCCTAAAATTCAGTTAACACTGTCCAGACCTTAATCTTCTTTTTGAGTCTCAGTCCGAGATGAAAACAACTAGTTAAAGCATCAATACCTAAGGAGCTTGAAAATTAATCAGTGAACATTTAGCTTCAGAGGGCGTTTTGTATTAGATAGATCTAGATTTACCCTGAAGAGTGATTTTAACAAGTTTACCAGCAGCTGCTATAGCCCTTCATAAACTGCAGTCACTTAACTGTAGAATAAGAAACTCTAGCACAAAGAGGAAATTGTTTCAGGCATGCAGAGCATTTCATTGGCACACAAAATACATCACCGATATTAAGGATAAAAGCCAGGTCCTTTCATTCCCAGTCCAGAGACCTGTATACTATGCTTCATGACTAGACCTTGAAAAAAAAACAACCTACCTGATTTTCTTTGTTTTATTATCTGTGCTTTACTTGCATCAAGATATTTTTTTTAAATAAAGTGGGAAAAGAACCTGTTATTGCTTTTTTCTCTTCAGAGGTACAGAACTAGAAACATTTGCAAGGTAGCTCTGCAGCTGTGCTAACAGCTCAACACCAGCCACAGATTTGAGGAGGACTTGGCTAGACTGAGTTCATAACTGAGTTTCAGCAAACTCCATAGACTCCGTAACATACAAAGACTGCAGAACACTCAGACTACAGTAGCCATTCCTTCTTGCTGCCCAGCCACACGTTTTTGAAGAAACATAGTACAGCTCCCACTAAACTGCAGACAGCCAAGATCATTGTAAGCTGCCTTTAATTCCACACAAAAACACTCTGTCATAGATAATCTCCTACATGAAGCTGCAAGCATTTGATAAGGCTAATATACTTATCCCAGGGATTCTTTTCTGACTCATATTTTGACTCCACTGTTATTGTGACGTCAATTCTTTCTCACTGCTGTTACCTCTTCGCAGTGCCAGGCAGGAGACATTCCTGTATTTGTATGTCCTACGCGGATTTTGTAGAGATGTCCCACGTTTCTAGTATTAACCTGTAAAAACAACCACAACTGATGGAACACAGAACATCTGTTCAAAAGAAAAAGACATGTAACAGAAATTCATATAACTGTCAAGTGAAGTTTTTGTTTACAGGAATTAAGTATGCTGTTACTTAAACAAGTGTTTTCGAAATATTTGACTCATTAGAAGCTTGTCTCCTTTAAAGGACAACCCTCAAAAAAACTGTTGGCCTGCCAACCTCGTTTATCTGGCTCCAGGATGCTGCTGTAGCTGCTTTGTTCCCCACCGAATATTTGCGTCAGTGAGAGATGAATACAAAGTGTACATATCACTAAAAAGCAAAAGTATCTTTACTCTGAAATTTGTTTCAGTTTAGCATCTATACCTACTACAAAATTATTTCTGCCTCTCAAGCACTTCCCACATACCTCTGAGTTCCTCCCTACTTCTCCAGGAGGATCTCCTTTATAATTTTAGAAAAGATTGTGTTCAGCTTTGGTGTTTCTTGTTTTTTACAAATCATTTCAAATAAACCAACTTAGAAACCTGCATTTGAAAGATTAGCTCTCAGGCAGGCTGGATGAGTGTGTCCAGTATAGATAACAAGGTGCTGAGAGAATAGCTTTGTGTGAAGGTTATTCAAACAACTAGTTATGAATTCAAGTGTAGAAATAGAAAATTTGTCTTCAAGGAACTGGAAACACACTATGAGTGTCTTCCCTTCTTGTTCTATCATTTCTTATTATTACGTAGGCTGGATTTTCTGCCCTTCTGTGGTTTTCCGTAGAACTAATTTTTGTGTTTTCATTTGCAGTGTAGACATAGGTGTGACCTGAGTTCTCTATTTCATGAACTTCCCTGCACTCAGTGTTACGAACAATAAAGACACAGAGCAGCGAGGACAGACCAGAGTCAACTGAGTTCTAGCATAGAGCACAAGCAGAGAGGTTTTACTCTTTCTCTGCATTTCAGAGTAGACATTCCTCAATTGTATGCAGTGCTATGGATTCTCATTACTGGGACCCAAAGTAGCAGCTGCCTCCATATTTTGCATTTGCTAGTCATTGGAGGTGAAATTAATTGCAGTAATGGGAGCAGGAAACAGAGCAAACAACACCTATTGTGAAGAGGGTATTTTTACTTGTCAGGTACCTGGTTACTTATTTTATCTACTCTTTTCAATCTTGTATCTTGTTTTATATATATATATATATATATATGTACACATTTATATATAACATATGGAGAATGGCATACTATCAGAGGTGCTGGATTCCTTGGAGAAATTCCATCAGGCTGAAAAGGGCTAAGAACTACATTTCCCACATGCTAAGCAGCACCAAGGCTATTGTGAAAAAAGTGAGCACTTCATCAATGCTGCCATTAAATATCTTTTCTCAGAAGAGGACGTGCTATGCTGGGTACTAACAATGGAAGCACCTGTTTGTGATATGGTCCTATAGCTGGCACCTGCTAGGGACACCCAGTGACAATCCTACATACACACTCAAGCTATCCAGCTTTTGACAAGAGACCTGTTCTGGCTCACTTAAATCACCATGCCTGTGACTGATGGGGGAGAAATGTTCTTGTGTAACTGGGAGCAGAAAGAGCTCCGGATAGACAGACTCAATTAAAGGTATAAAAACTGCCATTATTTAAATAAAGCAGCAGGTATTTAACAAAGTTAGAAATCATAGAATCACAGAATGCCAGGTTGGAAGAGACCTCAAGGGTCATCTGGTCCAACCGTTCTAGGTACTACTGTAGTTTATGTGAGATGGCTCAACATCCTGTCAAGCTGAGACTTAAAACTGCCTAATGTGAGGGAATCTACCACTTCCCTTGGGAGAGTACTCCAATGTTTGATTGTCCTTGTGGTGAAAAATTTACCTCTAATGTCCAATCAGAATTTCCCCAGGAGCAACTTGTGCCCATTACCCCTGGTCTTTTCCATGTGACTCCTTGTAAATAGGGAGTGTCCATCTTCTTGGTAGTCACCCTTTAAGTACTGGAACATAGTAATAAGGTCTCTCTGAAGCCTTCTCTTCTCAAGGCTGAAGAAACCCTGTTTTCTCACCTTCTCTTCATATGGCAGGTCTTCCAGTCCTTTGATCATCCTTGTGGCCCTTCTCTGGATCCTCTCCACACACTAAAACTTCACTTCCTCCTTTCCTTTTTAACAATGTATGCCCCTTTCAAATGTTAAAACTAAACAGTTATCTCTTGTCCTATATTTCTTGGCATTTTCTTGGGCATTATATAAATTAACCAGTAGTTCTTCTTAAAGAAACAAGAAATATGTTGGATCCAATCAGCTTTGGATAGGTGAGTGGGAAAGGAAACTAGATCTAGTTCTACATTTAAGTCCTGTCACTTATTTCTGTACTTGTGTACCACACAAAAAACTGTCTTTTAATCACATAGATTTTGAAATGTCATACAATCTAGCAGGATGCAAGAGGGTAACACAATGAATATGTATTACTTACTGTGAAAATGTCTTCATTGCCTCTCTGAAATAATTTGCCCTCCTCTCCATCAAGAAAAATAGGCTCTGAACTGCCGTGATGCCCATAAAATGTAATATAAACCTTTGAGCTTGTTCCTGCAGCTGGCATGTCACTGGTGAGGACTGTCACCTTCCATTTCCTAGCTATCAAAAGATAAAGAGACTCACTGAATTACTTAAACTCAAGACTTTTAAGCAAAATGCATTTTGGTAATCAAAATTCTAAGTAATATGTCGATGAACACAGAAATACATATTTCACAAAATTACAGCTAGAAAATATTGAGTTTGATGTGTTGGGCATGCAAAAATCAAGCAACGTCAGGATGCCATTCATATCTTTTTCTCTGCAAATGCCATATGGCCAAGTCAAATTTGCATGAACTTAATTCACTTTTCAAACACAATTCTGAAATTCACTATTAAATTGTTTAAATTGTTTTGAATGGTTTTGTGTTTACTTAGGGTATATCAGCTCTGCCCAGTGTGGTGCTGAGTAACAACAGTGAGTTTCAACAAGGTAGCTCTCGAATTAGGAACTCATTGTTAGGGCCTCTAAAGCTAATTAGCTCTGTTGAAATAAAAGTTTTTAAGAAAGGATTTGTAACTCTGGAAAGGTGTGGTGGGCTTCACAGATGTAACAGCTTGTTTGGAATCCACTGGAGGATTATCAACATATTCTTGTATTCCAGTGTTAGCATTATACTCTGAGAAACCAATATTCTTTCCATGGCTGAATTTCATAATTATCAAGACCAAGTATTTGGATTTAGGCTTTACTTTAGTGGAAGTTGAGTATCAATGACATGGAATTAAAGGAAATGGTGTCACTGTGGGATGGCTGATAACAGAAAGGAATATTAAGAAAACACCCTCAGTCCCAATGTTTCTGATTAGCTGATACCCATCTCAAATGGCATGCATTTAAGCACCTCCCAGGCCTTATAAGATCATTTTACACCACTTATTAATGTAATTGTTTCTTAAAAGAGAACTTCCTTTACGATATATCTGCAGTAATAAAGGGCCTTACTGCCTACAGAAGCCCCCTATAATCTCATGACTCACTATGCTGCACATTTTACCTGCACTACTGACTTTTCTCTGCATCTTTTTATCTTTGATCCTGTCTGCTCTGGCTAAACCACTAAGATAATATAGTGATTATGAGTAAGCTCATCATGATATGATTAATTTTGTGTTTATTGACTATTTGAGTTACTTAAAATAGATATGTGTGTCTTACACAACAGGCAATAAGCTTTCCTGAAGTTTTGTTGTGAGATTCAGCAAAACCACTTTTATTTTGTGTGTCACTCAGTACTTTCAGTGCTAGCCATGGGCATTTTCTTAAAGGAGTCAGTGGATGTTGATGATGATATACAGAATAATGTTGCAGCAGAATATTATTTGAGGAATAGCAAAACCAATTATTCGAGTGATTTACATTTAGTTTTCTGTAGCATTCTGGAAAAAAAGATAAGCTAAGATTAATTTTACTTGCTTATTTTTAACCATGTTCAAAAAGAAAATGTATTTAAGAAACTGATAATTAGGCCAACCTAAGTGCAGTGAGTGTCAGTATCTTTGTATCTAGGAAACAAATGTGTTGAGAATATATGTCCTCCTACACCACTTAGCAGTAGTGTTTGAATAATTAATACTGCTTGTAGTAAAAGGCAGAAAACAAGGTACAGCAAAGGTACAGTCTGAAGTCTAACATATTGAGACCTGGTAGAATCTATGTCTTGTTTGTGTATTGCTACAACCATTGGGTTATTCATATTGAGGCAATTTTTACCTCTCTGTGGCCAATGTGCTGTGTAACTGTTTTTTATATAAACCTGTCTTGCACAGGCAAAGGCACCTGTTTGAAAATTTAGTTGTGAGATACTGCAGAAAGAAAAAAAGGGAAAAAAAACAAACAACAAACCAAAACACAAGGCCAGGAAATACTGTACTTATAACGAATGCTAGTCCTGACTGCTATTGAGTTAGATTTTTGTAAATTTTTAAATTTTTTTTAATTCCCTCAGTATTTATGTTGGTTCACAGTAAAATTAGTCCAGAATGCCTTTGATTTTAAAATAACAAATTTATAAAAAAACTAAGGGAAGAGGTTAACAAAGTCAATTTAACTGAAAAATTAGGTATAACACAGGAAAATAAAACAAACTAGTGAAAACGTTATTTAACCACACAGATATAAAGAGAGTAAGCAAGGAAAGACTGTGTACTGAATTTGAGGACACAAACTAAGCATGTCTTTACAATGAAGTGAAAACTGCCTCTTTTTTCTTTTTTTTTAAATAAAAATGGTGACATACAGTCATTGGGAAATGTCAGCATTGTTGACAAGAATGGACTATGGAATGGAAAATATAAAAAGAAAAATCAGAAAGGGATGAAGAGTGCTCTGAGTTACTAAAGTCTATGTACCTTACACCAAAGCAATACTAGGTAATATTTTTCAACAAATTTTAAATTAATGGACAGTTATCTCCAGATATAAACAGCTAAGCAGAAACAGAATATTAGTAGACAAAAAAATTACAATTATGTGACCGTAAGATGCACCAGGAGAGAGATTTCTAAGTTGAGAAATTTTATTGTCAGTGTCTCAGAGTTCAGAGACAGTCTTTTAAATACTGCATAAAGTTCTGGAAACCCTATTCAAAAAAATACTTCTTGAAACTAGAAAAGGTCCTGAGAAAGACAATCATAATGCTTAAAGGAAATGGAGAAAGTGTTTGTGTAGGTGAGAATGTCTGATTTTGTTGATAGATACCAAGGAGAAAAAAGACATATCTACACAAATGACAGTGATGGCTTTGGGACATATGTATATAAGCTAACTATGACTAGGCTTAGGAATGACATTAGGAAACAGTTAAGACAGACATGAGAAGAAGGACTCAAGCTCTAGAACAATCCCCCAGTGGAAGCCATGTTAACTACACATAGCAAGTTTTAAAAAGAGATTTATTAAATGGAACTCCCTACCTAACTGTGTGGTTTCTTTATAGCAGGGTGCTAAGCTAAATAAACTGAAACTTCCTGGGACTGTAATCTATATGTTTTATTGGCTGTTTGTTTTTTCATAATGGCTAGAAGAAAACCTGAATTTCTTCTAGAAGTATGGCATAATCTATATAATGTCCTTGAATGCCTTCTGAATTTTTTTCTGTCCTGTTCTTTACACATACACTTGTCAGTTCCCAGTGTATTTTATCCTGACCTCTTTAGAAAGCCTCTACTCCTTTTGCAGTTAATTTGCAGAATTCAGCCACCTGTATAAAGCAGCTCATGTTACTCATCATGGTGCTTTTCCCTCTGTCAGTAAGGACATTGCTCTAGTCTCAGCATTGTGAGGTTCTCTCTTTGGCCTTCTCCAGTCTTACTTGATGAAAGAACTTTTATTTTATCAGCATATCTCAGCCACTTAATATTCTATAGCACCCCTGAACCTTTAATGAATATATAAACCCTATGACATTATAGTAAATCTCAGTGTCAATCTTTTCTCTTGCTGTCAGGTAACCATTTTGTTACTGCTTTTTCAGTTAGCATTCTGAAACCAGAAGCAAGACTTTCAACTAATGTAACAATCATTTCACCACTTGCTGTGGTCTCTGCTAATTGTAACCTCAGGCAGTACCTCACATCTCACCTTCTAAGTGCTTAGTTTGCTCAGTAACCCTGTAACAAGCATCTGACTAAAGGTTCTTGAACTTTGATTTGAAAAAGTTCAGGTGCAGTTCAAAATCTGGGAGAAAGACTTCAAGACCATGAGCTGTTAATTTGCCCATCTAACATTTAGACATTATTTACAGCATAGAAACCTGATACTCAGAATGCCATATGGTATTTATTGGGATTCTAGTAATTTTGAGCTTCATTTTCCAAACATTGCTTTTATTTCTGTATTGACATGTAAAAAGATGAAAAAAATACTATTGAGACTCTTCACTTGGAGCAGTCCTAAATCATGTGAAGGAGGACACAAAAAATGTGGAGATGGAGGAAAGAACAGAAAAAAAAAGGCAGCATAGAAAATAACACACAGCAATTTTGTGTGAAATTTATTAGACAATATATGTTGCTTTATGGTTGTAACGTTAGTTTATTACACAGAATACACTGCTTCAAACAACAGAAACAAATCAGTTATTTATGGCGAAATATATCTGCCACTGACCTCCTAAAAATAATTGAAGAGTGCTTGTAGGTTTCCTACCTCTACTGCAGAGCCCTTTTGCTCCAGATCCAACTTCTACTTTGCCTCTATGTGTCTTCTGTCACGCAGGGAGGCAATCAAAGCCTCTGGGTCAAAAAGGATTTGTGTCAGCCTTTAATCAGGTCCCCAGTCTGGATAACTGAAGGATCACAACCCAGGGCTTATTGCAGCATGTCCTTGCCAGTTGGTCTAGGCACAGCCTCCAAAAGTACAGGATGGCCAAAATCTTATTCTCTTACTAAAAACTAACAGATTCCTTCTCCAGGTATACCTCTAACTTCACCAACATTGAAGCAAGGTACTCTGTAGTGTTAGGGATTAAAATCTAACAAAAAACCCTGAAATAATCTGCCTAATCACAATATACATTAAATATTGTCCAATGTCATATTTAAAATAATTTAATGAAAATTGTAAACCATATGTAAGTGCTTACTACGCACACATAATATTTAAAAAATTATATCAATAGGTATCCAAAGTCATTCTAATAACATATGGAAAGATCCTGAATCATATTACATATGCCTTGGATTCTCATGATACAATCTATTTACAAAAAAGCCTACACAAAACAGAGACAGACTACTTTTGAAGTACAGAGGTTGAAGAAGAAGATAGAACTAAAGCTTGTACTGAATGTACAGGTATTTTAAGAGTAAGCGGTGCTGCCTTGGAAGGGAATATGGCAAGGGTAGTCAGGAAGTCCATGGACATAAAGTCTTCCTTCTCAGTTCCTGTGGAATCCCAGAGGCAACAAAATACACTCCTTTTCTAGTTTTCTCTGGGTAAAAGAGGCAACCTTCTTTTGGGTTCTGGATGATCTTATACACAGACTGAAGATCTCTTTACTCACATAAATATTCTGAAGCTGCCCTTTAAAAACTGACATATCAAGTTGATAATTTTAATCTATATAAAAACTAACAACTTGTGTCTCCTAGTTTTCATTGTATTATAGATTTTGAATGTAATTTCCTGCTTTTAATTTCAAATTAAACAGGTCAGTTGATTTCATTTTTGAAAAAGCATTTCTAGTGAAAGACAATTCTCAAATCCTTTCTCAAATGTCATAAAATGTAGGAATCTTATCTTAGAACTTGGGTGAGTATTTTAGTTTTCAGTTCTCTGTTCTAACAAGCAGTAGTTGTTTCTCTGCAAATGAGATGATTGTTATACCTCATCTCAGCGAAAACCTGTTTTGTAACCAAGAAATCACTGTTCTAGAATAACAGCTTTTATGCACATGTTGTTTTCCAAAAAATCTAAGTAATTATCTGTATTTCAGCAAAGATATACAATTGTGGTTTATATTTATCTAGGTCTGGGCTGAATTCATCTTGGGAGTTTTGTTGGGTGTGGCATTTAGCACTTTGTTTTGTGCTTGATTTATCTTTCTGAAGATGCTTTCACTAGTTTAACGTTATAGAAATTCTAAGATCTCTATTCCAAGCCTTTCTCATTTTTGCTGTTTCCGTTCTCCATTGTACAAAAGCAACCTCCTTCTTCTTTTTCTGCTTCTTCTGTAGGAACGGCATTTTCATTTTTCAGATTTTCAGAGGCATCATGTTCAATGTTATTTAAAGAAGAGTCACACTTCAGAAATGTTTCAGAATGACAGGTTTCTGCTGGATCTGCCAACATTGGAGAAACTTTTTCTCCAACAATATGAATTAGGCTTATTCTTAGACTTTGGCATATTTTTGACTTTCTATTGGGTAGCTCACTGTTTGTGCCTATCACAAGATAATTGGGTGTGTGTTTGGGTACATTATTCTGACAGGTGCTGACTTCCACAGGTTTTACATTCATATCCTCTGTAACATGAAACTTCCCTAAACTGCTTGTGTCTTTCAGAGTTGAAGATGCAAGTATTCTAATGTTACTAATAAAATCTAAGGTGTTATTAGCATAAAACCTATTGAAAATATTATTGGCAATCTTATTGATACAGTTATTCTTTAGAGTCACATGATTATTTCTGTCCGTTATTGAATCTTTGCGTGACCATTGTAAATGTTCACTCTTTTTTGCCAACAAACATAGCCCCAGCTGGTTCTCAATATCAGATGCCTTTTGGTAGGCATATCCTCTCTGTTCCTCATTAATTGGTGTTACTATCACCATCAGTATTGGACAATGTTGGCCACATATCGCATGGAGTTTATCCAGAGAATCTTCTTCCCGAAGAGCACTTTGGTTAGCATTACTACTACCAGCTGGCTGAGACCGTATGGGTTCATCATTTAAAGGCTGTTCCAATGGATGCACCTTGTTATCAGGCAATCGAAATTCTCCAGATGTAAAGGATGGAAAATTGGTATCAGCCTGTGTGGAAGTAGAACCCACCACGACTGATGGCTTGATCTTTTCTTTGTTTGCTGCAGGAAGGGAAGTGATCTTACCATTGCGGCTAGATGTGCTTTTTGTACTTAAGTCATCCTGAAAGGGGTCTGAATCACTATTATGAGGTACACTGAAATAATTGCAATGATTTGCAGAGGGTTTAACCATCTCTTCAAGTTCTGAAGAAGAGATTTCATGGAGGGCTGGGTACTGATTCAGATTGCCAAAGTGCGAGTATGGAACATCATCACCGTTAGCATCAAGGACTGTGTCTGTTGATGTTGTATCCAAATTACCATACATTCCAATCTGTTCAGGTGGTGATCTTCTTATTAAATGATTTTCTTTGAGAAGCCATTTACCTTTATCTATCAATATTCCTTCCTCTTCGTTAGACTGTGTGATAGGTTGACATTGTTGCTTTGGAGAATCCTCTGGATAGTCGTTAGTATAACTTGTCTCCTCTCTGTTAGGAGTAGGTTGTGGTGTTGGCGAAGAAGTACTTTCTCTTCTTGATATAGTGTCGTCTTTGTCTATGTTTACTGGAAATTCTTGTGATGGCATTGAAGAATGTGAAAATTTCTCTGCAGAATAAGACCTATTTTCTTGAGAAAAAGAAATTGTTTTTTCCGCCACTGCAGAGTAGAATTCTTCAGTATCTTTTGGAAATACTTTTGACACATAAGGAAATCCTTTGTGAAATTCAGGCTTAAATGAAGCTTCCTGCTTGCCATAAAGTCGTTCAATAGTTCTCTTTACATAGCCAGTATTATAATGTTTTTCAAGTATTGCTTCCTCCTCACTTTCATTGGTCAAATCACTGGATGCTCTAAAGTTATGTTCACTTTCTTCAGTATCTGGTCTGTAATCTGACCAGTCTGAAGTAGCAGGTGTTTTTAAGCGTTTTTTCAATCGAGAAGCATCTGAATGCATTCTGTTCTCCAGCTCTTCTACTTGCAATTTCTGTTCTCCTTCACTCATATCACATTCTGTAATTTGTTTTGATTCATAGCAAAATGATAATGGAGAGGCTGTAGATAACCTCTCCGATATTTCCTCATCAGTCTCTTCATCCTCCTTGTCTGCCTGTATGGAATAATCCTCATTATTGTATTCTACAGAGGATTCAACAGATAGTTCAAGTTGATTATTTGGGGTTTTGTCATTACCTACTGGCTTTGGATCAACATTCTCATCTTCATTTTTGTTAGTAGTAACACAAATATCTTTTTCACCTTCTAACTCAGAAGTATCATGACCTAAAATATAGTTTTTATCATTAGAAGTTACACTATATACTGTTGAGTTAGGTTCTACTGAAATTTCTGACTCTTCATTAGCAAATGATGTATCTATGTTTTTATCTTGAGATTTTTCATACAGGCTATCAGACATATCTCCATTTCTTTCAGGTGACTCTACAGCTGAAGCAGGGTTACAGGTATTTGAATGAGCATTGGCATACTGACCATCAAGCCGTGTTTTGGGAGCACTCAAGTTTAAAGTCTCTCTTTCTCTGCAAAGATCTTTCTGTATATCTAAAGAACTTTCTAATTCACCAGTCAATTTTAGAGCTTCTTCAGAAGTTGTATTGTCCTTTGGAATACAAGGCTCAATTGAGTTTTCATTTGCATGCAGATGTGTACCATTATGAATTTCAGATACAGGCACATCCTCATGGCAATCTGTGGAGTCCTGCTTTTCGAGTTCCCCCCCAGAGTGTAAGCAGTTATTTTCTGTTAATTGTTGAAAATGAGATAAGGCAGCCTTTAGTTCATTGACTTTTTCTATTAATGAATTTTGTTTCAGAAATTGTAACTGTGTGAATATTTCAGAACAGCTGCAGGTTGTTTTCTTTGTATCATCTTTGATTGTCTCAATCAAATTCTCTCTCAGATTCAGTACAAGTAGCCAAGCTAGGAGGACATTGGAGGAAGAACCAAAAGCTGAAGGAGAAAGATCAGAAAGGCTGCAGGCTTTTCCTATACATCCACTATGCTCCTTCTGGAGAACAAGCAAATTTGATTGTAGTTCACGCAGCATCATGCTAGACATGCAATTATTCTGAACATCAAATTCCATTTTCTCATTGACAACTGCACAATCAACTTGAACAGCAACTTCAGATTTTTTCCTTTGACATAGGTTGTTGTCTTGAATATCGACTGACATCTTGTTATCATTGTCTTGTGTTTCATGAAACAACTGTAGCTTACCATCATGATGAAATTCTGACTTTAGAGAATGCTTGGCTTCTTCTAGTATCGTTGCATCAGCATGAATTGAAGAGTCAGTTTGTTTCTCACCTGATTCTTCTAAAGTTCCTATTTCAGAAATAGGCTTTAATGGTTTTTTTGTTGGATTATGCTCAACCAGATGGTTTTTTTCAGTCACATGTAATTTATTTATGATAAATCTTGTTTCTTTATCTATAGAAATATCAGTATTTTCATTAGGAAAATGAGAGGCATTGTTGCTCTCTACAGTCACTTCTTTTTTATTTATAGGGGGTAAGACAGCATTTGGTGACAAGTTTTTCAGCCAACTTTGGACATAGTTTTCAAGAACCTCCTCTTGAAAATCCTCCTTTTTTAGAGCCTCTAGTGTAATGGTTCTCTCTGATATATTTAATTTATTTGCACCTTTTCTTAGATTTTTCTTGATCCCTTTTTGTTTTTTCTCTTTCTTTGATGATAACTTTTCCAAAACATTCTTTTCCTTTTCTTTTTCAAAGTTAAGATTCTTTGGCACTTCTGACAATGGCTTTGAAAACACTGACGAGTTAGATGTCTGTTCAAAAGAACTGGTTGAGAGATTTATTCCTTCTTTCTTGCTACTCAGTGTATCCTGACTGTGTTCAGATTCATTGTTTGAATCAGCTGTCACTCGACCATCTTCACTCTTTGCAGATGAAACCACACCATTTTTTTTGCCTGACTTCAGTTTTACCTTGGCCAACTTTTTGTCATTATTTTTTTTGTTTTTATTAAATGATAATCCATTTTGTTCCTCTGAATCCTGGTGAGAGAACTCATCTTCAGGACATATGCTTTTGTCTGAATTGACAGACCCATCGCTGTTTTTTACAAATAATTCTGTTCCTTTTTTCTGAGGCATTTCAGAACAATTATCCATGGTCTCTGTTGTGGAATCCTGTGTAGTTTTTCTTGTGATATGTGTTCCTTCACCTTTAATTATTCCTGAAATGTCTTTATCTTCTTGATTTTCATATGTGCCTTGCTCTAGAAAGTTAGATGATTTTCTCTTCTTCTTCTTCTTCTTCTTTTTGGTGAGGGAAGATGCAGATTGGTTGTCATCCATGAGACTTGTTGCTGTCTCAGATTCAGTCCTATCACTGATCTGATTCTCACTTTCAGTAACATTAGGAAAGAAGCCAGTTGGATTTACTGGTTCAGGGCAGGCTGAATGCATTGAATCTTGAGAAACAGGTAATAAATCAGCAGCTTCGTATATAGTTTCTTTTGACTGACATAATTCTGAATATTTAACAAAAGAACTCAATGATCTTTTTATTTGTTTAATATCACTTGATTCATGGATGTGGTCTGCTGAACCTGGTCTAGCTGCTTGGTAAATTTTTGAGGATGGTATGCAACCACTAATGTTAGCTTTGCAGCTTGATACTAAACTATTATGTGTATCTTGTTCTGCAACTGATTTCTCTAGTACGTCCTGTACCAGTTCGTCTTTGTCAGGCATTTCTACCATCTTCCTATTTGTGGTTTCTATTAAATCATTACTTTTGTGGCTTACTGTAAAAAGCATTTCTTCCTTTATATTCTCTGAAGAAAGCTTTAATAAATCATTGTCACTCATCTCGCCAAACTTTGAATTACTGACACTTGATTTTTTTCTGCTTGAATGAGCTACCATGCAATACTCAGATTTATTTTCTCCATTCTGTATTTCCTCACTGTAGGAAAATTGTTCTACTCTCTTCTCCTGAACCTCTTTCTCAGATACCAAAGTGACACTTTCAACTACTGCTTTCTTTTGTCTAACACGCCTTGGCCCAGGCGTGGGAGGCCTATAGAAGCGAGGCTTGATATTATCCTCAGGTACATTGCTTACATCTAGATCTGCAGAACTGTTGTCCTTACAGGTATTACAACCAGCAGTTTTTAAATCAGACTCTGATTCTTTGTCTGACACCTCTGCACTGAATTGCTGTAATGAGTCTCCCTCTTCTTTATCGTAGCTCTTCAAAAATGGAGCACGGTTTGGTTTTGTACATTCTGATGAATTTACATTGGATAAGCAGTCTTCCTCATGCATTGTAGAATTGAAAATGGTATTTTTGTCATCAGAAAGGCCAGCACGGCTTACAGTTGTTGTCCATTTAATGGTTTCTTCCTCTTTAATTTTGAATCGAACTTTCATTTCCACCGTCATACTGCCATCTTGATTAAGGTGAACAGATTTCTCAATGTCCTCTTCAAACTGAGCCACAGATAAGTCTTTACCAGTAACTAACTGATTTTCTCCTATACTGTTATGACTCTCAGGAGCATAAGAAGAATCTGAGTTGTTATCATTTGAGTTATTCTCATTCGAGCTATTATCATTTGAGTTGTTATAATTCGAGTTGTTATCATTCGAGTTGTTATCATTGCTGGACACTTTATCAGAAGAAACTGAGAATATCTGAGATCTCGAGCTAGAGCCCATTTCAGCTCTCGCTACAAATTACATTGAAGGAACCCAGATTCATTCAGTAGGTGGAATGCAGAGCAGACAAATATAATGCGTAAGGATCCAGATGGTGAGACAGCAGACAGTAAGCAAAGGAAGAGAAAAGAAGAAAGGAGAAAAATTAGTACAAAGGAAGATAATGAAGTGTCTTTCTTTTACCAGAGTATTAGACAGCAAAGAGAAAAACGTGGCTAAACTCACTGAACATTTTAAGAAGCTGTTAGAGAGAGAAATATAACATTTTCTTTTATAAATAATCAAATATTTTACTGCTTTTCCACTTAATTTTATTTTGCAGTAACTTCTTTCTAATGCCAGAACCATAGCCTGGTTTGAAACTCCAAAGCCTAGGAAAAGTACTAAATGCTTTCATTTTATACTTAGTGGGGAGCTGACATTGCCTTGAACCTTTCAAGGGATTCGCAGGCCCTTGCTTGTTTGGGCTTCAAGCTACCAACTTCTTCATGCCTTAGAGATCATAAATATATCATTTCCTATTAGCTCTTGCAGTTAGTTCTAAAATGTCAGCCAAGGCGAACATGTATCTCCCTGGGCTTAATCTGACACTCCACAGCATATGAGTAATTACTGTGAGTAGTGCCACTGACACATGAATAAAGGGTTCAGATCCAATCCCCTGGACTGACCTTCTATAGAGAAGTAAACATTGAAGCACTTGAACTTTTTATATAATCTGCATTTAAATTATGATATCTGAGACACATTTTATGCTACAGTACTGTAGATGATGGCTCAAAACTCAGTAAAGCAAATGAGAATACCTCCACACTTCAATGAGTTTTGAGTATGGTCCAGTATGGGTTGCATACACATTAAATACTCCCAAAGTATATTTTGCTTACTCTGTAATAATTTGGCTTTTTAAACCAAAAAAAACCCAAACAACTACTGCATCTCTCTCTAGCAGCTGTCATTGAAGAGATGAGATATAAAAGAACATGAGATAAAATTGAAAGTTTTGCTGTCTTCCAAGAAGTTCTGCATGTGTGAAGGAAACAGTATGTGCACACCCACACAGATGTCAATAACTGCTACTGATACCTAAATATATAGAAGCCACCATTTAATCAAAAGGTTTCACTTGCAGAAAGGTATTTTAACACATGTAATATTAACTTCTCTACATTGCTTAAATTTTAGTGCTTTTTTTTCCTTAAGTGAGTCACAAATGGTGACATATCAAGATTTTCACAGTTAACATACTACTCTTATAGATACGTATCTATAATTTCAGGCAGAGTGCCTTGCAAGTTTCCCAGGCATATGTTTTACCATGAACTGAATCAGAAACAAAAGTTTGTACTAACTCTTCTAACGCAGACCAGACCTTCTGCTTCCCAAAGTAAAAATCTCACCTTCTCAGTCTTGGGAAATTGAATCGGAACAATGTGCTTGAAATTTTATTTTTTATTTTCTCACATCATCAATGATATCTCCTACACAGAATACTTCTGAATTTCTCAGATTAAAGACAAAAAGACATTGTTTGGGTTTTTTTCTCTGTCTCTAATTGCTGTTAACTAAAGATTAGGAGGAGGAGCTTACCAGATTCCCAGCTACTCACATTTTCTACCATGGTAAGGCTCAATCTCTCGCTCAATGCACAATTTTGGGAGGATTTTTTCTGCAGAACTTTAACTCTCAAAGTGTTCCTATACATTCTCTCTTGACCCATTAGTTATGCTCTGCAAACAGCTCTCAAGCTGTGCAAATCAAAGAACATGAAGGCAGAGACTAAAACTAAAATGGTTTGGTGAGGACATAATAAACTGTGAGGGATGTGAAAGAAACTCCTTGCAGTAAATGGAAGCCAAGTGTCTCATGAAACAATGTGCTCCATGACACAGTCACACTGAGCGTGGAAAGTCTCAGTCCAGAAACAATTACAGTGTCCCTTGGGCTCTCCAGTACAGCATGCACCTATACAAAGAATACAAGGAACCTCTGGGTTAAACAACTTTTCCCCTAGACAGCAACTCTGTCCTTCAGGATGCTAGAATGTGGAAGGTTCCAATGCTGCCTAAAGCTTTGATACTGCAGCTCTTTGTCCCACTCAACCTCAGGCTATTCAGTTAGCCTGCCACCTCTCCAGCAGCTCTTTATGTTCTTGATCATCCACTGGCCACTTGCCACTCTAACTGACGTTGTCAGTGGCGTAACTCCATGAGTAATCAAAGGGAAAGACATATTTGTGTAGCTTTCCCGAACTTATCAAAGAACATATATTACAGCCATGAGGATATAGAAAGGGATGACAATCTGTTTAGATAAAAGCAGCTTCAAAAACGTGATGAATTTCTGAATGGACAGTTAACGTTTTTCCTGTTTATGTGAAGCATGGGACATGAGAAAAAATGAAAGCCATGACAATGACAAAATAAACCTCCACTTGCTAAGGTAAGTTCTGAAAACAGCACAAAGATTTTACTCAAGGAAGTCAGTCAGTTAAGAGCCTGAAGTAGCCTGTGGTTTCTCTTTTACCACTGCCATTATTAACTAAGACACCCCAAAATTAATAACAATAACAATCAAATGCACTAAAATAAAATATACTTCTAGATTTGGTTCCGTGTTTAAAATAAATCTGTTTGTTTGAATGAAAATATGCATTGTAGCTAAGTACTTAGCAGAAACTTGGATTTTAAAAAGAACATTAATATTTTAAACTTTCTTGTGCTTATAGAGGAGTCAGAGCAGATATAAACAGCTTCAATCGGCCTTTTTGAATATTCTTAGTTCTAGTAAGATTGTCATGGTTGGTGTCTTACTCTGAGAGAGATAAACCAATTAATAAAATACTAATTAATTTAAAGAACTTACTATTTTCACTTTCTGACTTGGTATTTGTGTTTGGGTACACACGATTTGCCATTCCAAGCAACCTAGCAGGCTGCGAATACACAAGAGAATCATAATTGCTTGGTTTAAAGGGCTCTCTCCCTGCTGCAACTACAGCTCCAGAGCACAATACCAGGGCCTGAAGATTAGTAACCTGGAAAAAAAACACAACAAAGTAATATTAAAATCTCTGCCTTAGTAACCACAAAAAATAATGTAAGAGATTTATTCCTTTCATGCTTTAATATCTTCATTTTTTAGTCCCTACAGTAGTTTGCAGCAGGCTATTAAATATGTATCACATCACAGAATTAATTTTTCAATCCCTATAAGGCAATTCCTATCTCTGTGAGGGTATATCTTATATAAATACATTAGAAAAAGACTTCAAGTAGCACTTGAATCCAGATCAAAATGTTCTTATAATTTAAGTGTTTGGACATGTAATTTTGTTTCATCGTTGCACAATGACTGCTCATAGCCATGAAATAAGTATATGTAGTAGGAGGTAGGTATGCATATGAAGACTTTGAAGAAGAAAGAGGAAATTCAGAACATGCCAACAGTACTTGACCTGCACTGCCACAGAGCAACAGGAGGACAGAATCACAGAATATATGTTGGAAAAGACCTCTGAAAGTCATGTAGTCTAAGTCTGCTCAAAGCAGGTCTGATTTAGTCAAGGTGCTCAAAGCCTTGTCTAACAGTTTTTAATTACAATTCCAAAATGTATTGCAAAATAAGGCTTACAAACTCCACTTCACTGCCTTATATGTGATATGGACAGTTTCCCAACCCAATGCAGATTTTCACCCAAATGGAGGGGAAACATGAGATTTCCCTTAAATTCTTGGAGCTCTGCATGGAATTTTCTTTCTAGATGCATATTAGGTGTAACCACAAGTGATTTTCTGTGATTAAAGAATACATGGATAAACCAGTGAGTGAGATAAAATTACATAAAACAGCATGTGAGATCAAAATCAGTATTATTAGTGTTGCATCATCTGGGTTTAGAGGTATCGAACCTGGTCCACGGCTTGCAAACTATAACAGACATTCAGGTTTCATAGTTCAAAGTCATTAATGGCAAATCATACTCTGCATTTGTCTAATGATAAAATATGTGTGGCTATTATATACTACTTATCGTATTTTTAAAGCATTGTCAGATATAAGCAGCACTAAGACTAAAGAAAGTTTCTGCGTAAATATGTAAAAATACAGAATTAAGAGCATGCCTGATAGAGGCTTGAGTAAGAAAAAGAAAAGCACTTTTTCATGATGACTTAAAATAAAATGTCTTCACTTGCTTCTCTCTGATCTCAAGATTGCAGTGTTTCCTCCAGGCTAGTAGCCTTTCTGAGAAGGAAAAGGCATAGAAAGGAAACAGCTGAAATTCAGCACATCACATCTTAGACCGACCAGTGTCCCAAGCTTGTAATTTTTAAAATCACTTTTTTAATTAAAAATAATCCAGAAGAAATCACAGTAATATTGTCAGTACTCATCTTTGCTCTCACCTTTCTGCCATCAGTGGTATACAGTTTCACAACTGGATATTGCATTAACTCGCTCATATGATCCAGAAAGGCCTCAAAGGTATGTGTATTTTTCTTTCCCAGAATCATGGTGCGTCTGTGTCTGACATCACCATTTTTGAAAACAAGCAGCTTTTTGGGGGTTGTTATTCTTCTTTCTCGATGGCCAAATCCATCTTCATTCTCCCTTGCTAATTGCACAGCTCGGCGACGGGCACTGACAGGCCTACTGATCTGCCAGGGCAGTGGCTTTTTGCTTGCCTGTTCCAGGTTGATGGGCTTCATTCTCCTCTGGTGGGAACAAATATAAGATTTTCCATCTTCAAGATCCTCCAAATTGGTGATGCTGTGTCTTCCTTTTGGTGTACTGATATTCCTTACTCCAAAAGGTAACGGGACTCGCTTGGATAAAGTATCCAACAAGGCATCAAATGTTTTGTAAGACCGATTGTTAATGACCATTTTGATCCCATTAAACTGAGGATCTCCACTTTTATAGAAACAAATCCGTTTTGCCACAACAGGTTCAGTAACATTGAGATGGCGCGTGGATAAACTCTGTTCACTTCCAGAGGAGTTTGGCTGATTCACTGAGTAACTGGTTGAAGGTGTTTCACTCATTTTGACAGAAATCTGGAAGAAAGAGGAGATGAATGTAAAACTTTTCTCATGACTTAGTAATAACACGATCTTCATTTTGAAAGGTGCAGAAAGAGAATGTATAAGAAACCAACAGCAGCAAGTTGTGCCAAAAGTCATTGGATTTAAATGGATCCAAGCTGTTATCTCTAAATTCCACAAAGACTCTAGTACTGTCAGATTAAGTTAGCATAGCTCTACTCACAAATATTCCCAAAGCTCTCCAATGTAATTTCACATGTCTTATCATTTTGGTACAAGAGACCTTCCCTTAGAAGAAGGTACTGTCAGTCCAGAATGACAATTAGCTATTTTCTTTCTTGAGGATGAAGCTAATGATAATATTTAAGACATTAGCCAGATCCCTATTAAGGGGCACAATTTGTGCTTAGGCATGAGCCATATTCAGTCTAGCATAACAAAATCGAAAGACAATACAATTAATTCTGATCTCATATACTATTTTTATACCAGGACAAATCCCCTTGAGTAGAGGAAATGTTCCTGAGTTACTACACTGTAAACTACATCAGAATAAGGCCCAAAACATTTTTTAGATTTAAGTTGCATCATAAATTGACAGAGCATTTGCTTTTCTATTGTATGTTTTATAATTAATGATACATTTAACCACTACAGTGTTTGTATTTATACTGAAGAAAAAAATATCAATCAAACAAGGCTTTTTTTAGTAAGAAGAAAGTCTTTAAATCCTTCATAAAGACACACACAAAGAAATCAGGTATTCTTTAAAAGAAGTAGCCTTTAAATTAAAACATTTAAATACCAGATTATTTCTGACAACTACATTGGTAGTCTTCATCCTTGAAAATAGAGCACTCTGACTACAACCTTTCCATTTTAATCCAATCCACATACAGACAATGTAGTGACAACTCTTTAAATTAATAAAATCACTTTATCTTAATGATTGGATTGCTTTGACTGGAACACTGGATAGAAATGGCTAGTCAACTAATAAGCCTCAAGGAAGCAGTTTTAGTATAGTTTTACTGAAAAGCTCTATAGCAGTCTCAGGGAGGATGGTTGTCATCAAAATACTATACATTAAATTATTTGACAGTGTCATCTTTCTGCAGCTGCCATAGTGACTAATGGAACAACCTCTTCTGGCTACTGCATATTTTTGTTACCGAAGCTATGGAAGACAATATTTTTACCATTTTACTACTACATTGTGGTCAGTTGACCCTGGCTGGAGGCCACGTGCCCACCAAAGCTGATCTATCAATTCCATCTTCAGCTGGACAGGGGAGAGAAAATATAATGAAAGGCACGTACATTGTGATAAGGAAATGGAGCTCACTCACCAGTTACCATCCTGGGCACAACAGAATAACTTGGGGAAATTAGTTTAATATGTTACCTACCAAATCAGAGTAGGATAATCAGAAATAAAAACTACATCTTAAAACACCTACCCCCACCCCCCCTTTTTCCTGGGCACAACTTCACGCCTGATTTCTCTACCTTCTTCCCCACAGCAGTGCAGGGGAAACAGGGAAAGGGGATTGTGGTCAGTTCATCATATGTTGTCACTGCTGCTCCTTCCTCCTCAGGAGGAAAACCCCTGACACTCTTCCCCTGCTGCAGCCTGGGAACTACTCCAACTTCTTCTATTGACTTCTCCAACCCTAGTCCTTCCTACAGGCTGCAGATCTTCACAAATTGCTCCAGCGTGGGTCCTTTCCATAGGATGCAGTCCTTCAGGAATAGATTGCTCCAGCTCAGGTACGCCCATAGGATTGCAAGTCCCACCAGGAAACCTGCTTCAGCATGGGCTTTCCACAGGGTCACTGCCTCCTGCTCCAACGTGGGATCCTTCATGGGCTGCAGATGGATAGTTGCTCCACCATGGTCCTCCAGATGCCACTCCTGTAGCCTCTCTCCACTACCAAACCCCTGCTACACCCAGTATGTTCCACCTGTTGCCTCTGTGAATCATATATATAAGAAGGGGAGAAAAGTTGTTTTGCGACAGTCATTTCAGCCAATTATGGACAGTGATCAGCACACAGGAAGATGTCTCCTTTAAATACATTATTTATACTGTAAACTCCACTCATTCTACATGCTAGAACTGAAAAATAACAGGTTTGTACTAGAATGATGTACACAAAGACTGATTTAAATCATCACAATTCCATTTAAAATTTAAAATTTTAAAAATCAAAAATTGTAAGTATTTAATTAAGGAATATGCAGGAAGACATTTTCAAGCTAGGCTGCAGCAACTTATACAACCCAGTCCATTATAGCTAGTGAATTAGCTCTCTTCCTGGGTAGAGAGGAGCTCCACTTCAACTGAAACCACTGAGAGCTATAGTTGCTCATCTTTTTGACACAGCTATTCATTAGCTGTCTAAATTTTCATTACACTTCTAAACTGAGAGGTTGACAAGTGAGTTAAAACTACGAGTACAGTTTGAATCACCCATTTTGTGTTTCATATGTGATTCTGTTTATACTGGTATTCCTCATGCTGTTTATACTGATATTCCTAGAGGAAGTCCATAAGGGCATTTTTCTTGCTAGCTGCGGCACATTTTCCTACTCTCTCTGCAAAGCAGATTTTCTACACCAATGAAAGCAGCAATCACAGTAGCAAAGTTCTCGAGTGAACTAAGTGTTGTGTTACTCCATTTATCTAACCAAGAAGACCTGAGCTCACTAAAGTCCAGTTCAGGATCTGAATCAGGGACCTACAAGAAAGTTGGGGAGTGACATTTTACAAGAACATGTAGGGAACAAGGGGTAATGGCTTTAAACTGGAAGAGGGGAGATTTAGATTAGACACCAGGAAGAAATTCTTTAGTGTGAGGTTTGTGAGACACTAGGTTGCCCAGTGAATCTGTGGCTAGCCCCTCCCTGGAACTGTTCAAGGACAGGTTGAATGGGGCTTTGAGCAACCTGATCTAGTGGGAGGTGTCCCTGCCCATACAGAGAGGTTGGAACTAGATGATCTTTAAGGTTCCTTCCAACCCAAACAATTCTATGTTTCTATGACTACAACCCTATGGTCTCTGGGAAAGAGGAGAAAATTGGTATCATCAATAATGAACAGAGACAGAAATGAATAGACACAGCTCCTCAGCTGCTCTGTACTATGATTTTCTACTCTTTATGAAAATGGAGTGGAATTTAATCTAACTATATGATTATCCACTCCTACAAAAGATAAAATAGGTGGATTTTCTCATTACAATACTGTTAATAATCACTTTTGAATTAGCTTCTCAAAAGTTTTTCCAGATATTGGTCCTTATATAAAAAATCAGTTGTATGAGCATCAACATTCGGAAGACAAATTACATTTTACATAAAGGTAATTATTTTTGAGTCTTGACACTGTGGAAGTAACAAATCAAAAGCAAAGAGAGAATATACAAATAAAGAAAAATTACAGTTTTCACTATAAGAATTAAATAATTTGAATACACAAAGGTAATTAAGAAAAAGACATTTTCCTTAGCAAAACATAAAGTGAATGATAAAACAGATCATTCCAGCAGAGAATTGACAGTCGCATAGCACACCATGAATGAATACTCTCTACTAATAATTTTAATATTTAAATTTGCTTATGCATCTGTCATATACCTTATAATTCCATCTTACAAGTAGCAAACATTTCAACAAATGAATATGAGCATATTGTAAAAGATACTATTTTATACTACAGGTGATCACACTGTAATAGCTTCATTCCACCTTAAACGTAGTATTCATTTTCATACATTAATGATTTGATTTTATAAAATTAAGAAAAAGCTTATATCACATGATACAGAACACTTATTAAGGTATTTTGGTAAAAATATCAATTAAGATATTTTGGCAATAAAATCCATTATGATATTTTGGCAATTACAATGTTAAGAATTTTATCCTGCAAGAAAATCAAACAGAATTCAGACTTTAATCCCTTTGCCTGCATTCTCATAAGCAAAACCACTCATTCAAAGTTTCTGCACAAAGCTGCTAAATTGTACAAATACACAAAGTGGAACACTTTGTTCCAAATGCATAAGAATATGCTAATGCCATATAGCTGGTAAGTATTACATATAATTTCATCATACTCACCCACAGTCACATCTTACTTCAATAAAAGAGTAGTTAGCTTGTTTTCAGAGATTTATAAATTGTGCATGTGATTGTCTACGCCATATGAAATGAACAACCTTAGTCTTATTTCAAGTGTGCTCAGCTAGAAAAAACATCATAATCCATTTGCTTAATCTCAGCTAATGTTAATCACCAGACCAGGTTCACCTCAGGTAGCCATTGTTCAGAGCAGTGTGTCTAACATCTCATTCAGCAAGTCCCCTTATATTATTTTTAAATTCAATTTTTGTTCTAAATAAATCTTATATATGATTTTCTGTTTACTTAGATTACTCAACTCAGAAAACCACATAAAATGAAAATATGTTTGGAGAACAGAGGTCAACTAATCTATCTTCTTATCAGTGTAAGGTTATCTTCCAAACTAAACTCTATTTATTTAAAGACAAATTTTAAGTATGTTAAACTGAGGTTCTAACACTCATGTTCTACGACTATTTAACTAGTATTAGTTCTTGCTTTTGTTTAGTCATTTGGTCAAGATAATCCTCTTTGTGCTGAAGATTCTCCTATATTTTCTCTATTCAGATATCACAATGAAAATAGTTCCACAGTTCCTTTCACAACACTCAATAAAACAGTTCAGTCATCCATGAGACGTTCTTCACTTCAACATGTAGGAAAAAGGGAAATGCAACAATTACAAATATCTGTAAATACAGTGTATGAAGAAACAGGAGGATTGTGTCCAACTATATCTTAATTATAGCACAGAATGTGTTTTTTTTCTTTTTCCAGTCAAAATACTATATCCCTGGATAGTAACTGTTCCATCTAATTGCTACCAGATGTATAATCTGATTTGGAGCTTTGCTTAATCAGGATTACAGCAA